TCCCTGGCCAGAGAGAGCGCTCGGCACACACACACACACACACACACACACACACACACACACACACACACACACACACACAGCTTCGTGAAGCTCTGAAACCTTCGCCAATCATTGGTTCAAATCAATGGCTCGCAGCACGAATCAAACTGCCAAAAAGAGGCTTATTTACGTCACAACGGTGAACCCATAAACCAGTCTAGATCAGTTTGACACATTTCTAGGAAACAACACATTTGTATAATTAAACAATTATATTAATAAATAGTCACTTGTTGGCCTGATTAACCAAAACCCCTGTTAAACTAATTAAAGCAAGCACTGAAAATGAGTCAGATATCACATATTATACAGAGACTTCACATTTAATAGTATTATATGATCTGTTAACTGTTGGGGAGTAACTAGATGCATGTAATTTAATTTCTAAATAAACTTAATTGTAATCTGTTACAGTAAGTGAGTAATGTTATTTTTTAGTAATACAAATAGAACTAAGTGCAAAAACAGGCTTTAATATGACTATATTTATATATAAAGTAAGGAGGCAATAATAATTGGCTCAAATAAAGTATCAAAACCAAGTGCATGGTTTTATTGAACAACACCGTTAAACACAATGTAATATGCCAACGGCCTGGTGATGTTTCACGTGATTCAACGACGTTTAAATCCATTTAATTTTAATATTTGACCACAATAAATGGCATATTTAGAAATATGTTGATGTATTCTCCTGTGTTTGCATAGGTTTCAATGATTTACGTTACAAATCAAGTGAGTTTTCCCAGATGAACGTTAAGCAACTCAAACTCACCGCATACGCAGAGGAAGAGTTCAGCCCCTTTCACACATACAGTCTTCACTGCTAAATTACCGTTAGGAGATCATGTGTGCACACGGCCTTTTCAAAAACCCCCGTTAATTCGTTCTGGCAATCGTATCGTTCTTATGGAGATGACGTGATTACTCTGCGCTGTTTAAAGCTGAGCTGCTTTTTTAAAAGCTTTTCTATGTAAATATGACGCTAGATAGAAATCTTTGACCACTGCGCCTCGCAGCTTTATCAACGTGTCGCGCTCGAGACCCAGGCTCATGCTAATCATCAGCTAATGCGCGTCTCGTGTTTACAAGAGCAAAAACTTCTGATTGGCTAGTAATGTTAGTTTGGTTGAGAGTGACAGCTGTGCTCCTCTCATACATTGCTAGACGAACTCATGAACTCGAACGTGACATCAACAAGTGTCTTTAAATGTAGGACGACTAGCTTTTTCCCCCCGCAGCCAAACGTCGCACGCTGGAGGTCCTTAAGCCCTGACACACACACGCTCAGATGAGCCACTCCTCCGCTGCTGCTGAAGCTGTACCTGTCCTCCTCTGCGTGGGTCCCAGCCGGCCACGATGATCCCGGCCATCAGCTCCTCTCTGTACCTGTAGCACATGTCCCGGAACAGACTGGCCGCCGTCTGCACCAGAGGAGCCTCGTCCAGCTCGATGCTGACGGACACACCACAGAAGACCAGAGTCAGAACCCAAAACCGTTCAAAACACCGCTACAGAGCGCACGCGTTCATTACGTGAAGTCTAGACTAGAGCGGGCGTGTTCTTTCACTATTAAAATACATTCAGAACGATCACAACATTCAAGACATGGGGACAGAAAATGTGCATTTACATCATTTCATATAGTTATTCAAAATTACTATGATTACAAACGCAACATTGATGTTTCACAACAGTTCAATAAACAAGAAGTTAATTAAGAGACTTACGTTTTAGACACCATATTGCCTGTTTTTGCGCTATTTCTCCAACAAAACTCATCCCGAATACAGCCACAGCGCTGTTCTGCGTCTCTGAGCAACATGACGGTGTTTCGTTCCTGAATGAATCACTCGTTTAAATGATTCGCTTCAATTGCAACGACTCACTTATTACTAGGGCTGGGTAAAAATATTGATATCTCGATATTAATCGATTCTCTTTTTTACGGAACGATAACGATTCTTAAATCCCAAGAATCGATTATTCTAGCCTGTTTTCAGTTAATGGACGGAACATTGAAGGGCACTTCCCATCCAATAAATCTGGTGCTTTTAATATAAAACAAAGTCTCAGGTTTCAATTTATGTCCATTGTATCGCAGTATTCAAATAATAAATGTCGTTTTGGCGCTGTTTAATGTGGAGTGATCGCTGTAGCGCCTCAGTGAACTGATCATCTCCTCCGCTTTACTACTAGTTATAGCACAAAATAAACATGACTAAACATCCGAAGGCAAGTCAAAAGAAAGAGTACAACTTTACAATCCGTATCCCGTCTCGTGTAATCACTCGATCAGTGTTTCAGCCGCGCAAAGACGTCAATATAACAGCTTGTAAACAATTAATGTAACGTCGCATTTTCCTCAGAAAAAACATACTCGGTGACCATAAACTCATTAGTCAGACAGAAAAATAAACTGTAGCGAGGGGCATTCTGCTAAATATATGCACCATATAACACATTCATTATAATTTGACTGTTCTAATGTTTAATTTATGTTTGAATAAATCCATCAAGTTTTTATGACAGCCACCATTATGTTTATATTTCAAAAGAATGAATCGAAGGAGAAATATTATGTAATTGTAACTTTATTATTTTAAAAACGTAATTAAATTAATACATTTGAACATATCAGTCCATTTTAACCTTCGATATTAATGTAGTACCGACTGACTCGTGTATATTTTACAGCATTAGTGGACAGATTTTGTTTCCTTGAGAAAATCTGGCAAGTACTGTACCTGATATATATCCAAAATAATCTATATTGAATCGCAAGCTTGTGAATTAGAATCGAATCGTGAAATTTGTGTCAAAACCCAGCCCTTATTAACAGTGATTTGCTGCCACCTACTGGTGGTTTTAATTTCACAAGTAAAGTTTCTTTTTATTATTTAAATAATTACAAATAACAGTATTCAAGGTTTTATGTTTAATATATCAAAACATTATTAATGCATGTGTTACATTTTGAGACGCACACTTGAGAAAGATCGTGAGATAAAACGGTCAGACTGTGAGGTTTTTTTGTTTTTTTTAAAGTGCTAAACGTGAGATATAAGCGCAGTTACTAGACAAAGGTAAGAACTTGTAAGATGGAAAGTATTTGCAGTTTTGAGAAAATTCAAAGTGCCCAAAATTAATCAATTAAAACAAAAAAAAAAACAGATTTGAGAAAACTTTTTTTTTTAAGTTTTGAGGAAATTTGAAATAAACTCTCGGACGCTAAAAAAGCAGGATCACGTTCTTAAGAAAAACAGGTACTCATTGTGAGTTAGGGGTGAGCGATAACATCGTAATTGTTGTTTTAACGATGTGCGATTTGACATTATCGAGTATTTCATTCAAGCGCATGCGCACGCGTACATCACGTGAAGTCTAGACTAGTGCGCGTGCGCATTTAGTGTGGGTTCTTTCACTGCGTGATTCAGGCTATTAAAATGCATTTAGAATGATCACAAATTCAAGACATGACGGCAGAAAGTTTATATATTTATACCACTTCATATAGTTATTCAATTTCACGCGAAGAGTGCCGTTTTTCTCCAAATATTACCATGATTACAAACGTGACGTTGAATTCAGTAAACAATAAGTTAATTAAGAGACTTAAGTTTTAGACACCATATTGCTGTTTTTGCTCTATTTCGCCAACAAAAATCATCCCGAATACAGCCACAGCGCTGTTCTGCGTCTCTGAGCAACATGACGGTGTTTCGTTCCTGAATGAATCACTCGTTTAAATGATTCGCTTCAATCGCAACGACTCACTTAACTACAGTGACCTGCTGCCACCTGCTGGTGGCTTTAATTTCACATTTCGGCTTTTTCTTTCTTTTTCATGTTTTAAATCATTTCAAATATCAGTATTCAACGTTTTATGTTTAATATATCAAAACATTATTTATGCATTTGTAATTGCAGGTTAAATGCATTCATGTCTTGCATTAAACAAAATACATGTGTGTAAATACATCTAAATGCCTCTTCAGATGCAGCTTCTGTGCTGATTTAATTTGCT